CGTGTGCTCTTCCGATCTCCCCAAAACCCCAAAACCCCACGATACTTAATATATAAATTGAGTGTGTACAATAATTATTTAAATTTCAATTATAAAGTAAACTACTATGGCATCCCACGATATGGATATGGTAGGAAATGTCCTTCCTCAAGTTTTTAACGAAAACGCCAGCGAAGACAAGGGTGAATTAGCTAGAATGTAATCATTCGTTGGAGCTATTGCTGTTGCTGACCTTGTAAAGACTACTCTTGGACCCAAGGGTATGGACAAGATCTTATAGAGTGTTGGTGATCCCACTGCCAAGAAATCCATCACTGTCACTAATGATGGCGCTACTATCCTCAGATCTATCCACGTCGACAACCCAGCTGCAAAGATTTTAATCGATATCTCTAAGTGCCAAGATGAAGAAGTCGGAGATGGTACTACTACTGTTGCTGTTTTGGCTGGAGAATTATTGAGAGAAGCTGAAAAGCTTGTCAATCAAAAAATTCATCCACAAATTATCATTCTCGGATGGAGACAAGCTAGAGATGTTGCCTTGAAAACTCTTAGAGAAGCTGCCATGGATCACTCAGAAGATTTAGAATAATTCAGAATTGATCTTAAAAATATCGCTATGACCACTTTAAGTTCAAAGCTTCTATTAGAAGACAGAGAACATTTCTCAGATTTGGCGGTCTCAGCAGTTTTAAGACTTAAGGGATCAGGAAATCTTGATTACATCAAGCTTATCAAGAAGCCAGGTGGTACTTTAAAAGACTCATTCTTAGCTGATGGATTCATCCTTGAGAAGAGTATTTCAACTGGATGCCCAAGAAGAAAGGAAAAGCCCAGAATTTTGATTGCTAACACACCAATGGATCACGATAAAATCAAGATCTTCGGCTCAAAAGTAAGAGTTGACTCAATGCTCAAAGTTGCTGAGATTGAGGAAGCTGAGAAAATGAAGATGAAAAAGAAGGTAGATTAAATTCTTGCCTTGAAACCAGACGTTTTCATTAACAGACAATTAATCTATAACTATCCAGAACAACTATTGGCAGAGAAAGGAATTATGGTTATTGAACATGCTGACTTCGATGGTACCGAAAGACTCGCTGCCGTTCTTGGAGCTGATATTCTCTCAACCTTCTCAGAGTCAAACTTCTCTGAAGGTCATCAACCAAGACTTGGATATTGTGAAACTATTGAAGAAATCATGATTGGTGAGGACAAGGTTATTAAGTTCTCAGGTACCAAAGCTGGTGAAGCCTGCTCAATCGTTCTAAGAGGTTCAGGATCTCACATTTTAGACGAAGCAGAGAGAAGTTTGCACGATGCTATCTGTGTCCTTGTCTCAGCTGTCAAGAGTCACAGAGTCGTCTATGGAGGTGGAAACAGTGAGATCAGAATGTCACTCGCTGTCGAAGAACTCGCCAAGACTGTCAAGGGCAAATAAGCTCTTGCTATCTAATCATATGCCCACGCACTCAAGCAACTACCAACCATTATTGCTGACAATGCTGGTTATGATAGTGCTGAAATTGTCCAAAACCTAAGATCTGAAATATACAGCGGCAATCTACAAGCTGGTCTAAATATGTTCCAGGGTCAAGTCGACGACATGAAGACCCTCGGAGTCACCGAGTGCTTAAGAGTAAAGGAATAGGCTTTGTTGTCTGCTTCCGAAGCTGCTGAACTTATTCTAAGAGTTGATGAAATCATTAGATGTGCCCCAAGAAGAAGAGAGGGCTAATGAGTGCAAAATATAATTATTCAGGTTAATTAATTAATCATCATATTCAAATACTCTTCAATTCAGATTCCCGGGGTTTTGGGGTTTTGGGGTTTTGGGGAGATCGGAAGAGCGTCGTGTAGGGAA